CAGACGGACGGTCAAAGCGAGATTGTGAATCAGTATATGGCACAGCGACTACGACCTTTCGTGAGTTACTACCAAGACGACTGGTCAGACTATCTTGCAATGATAGACTTCGCTTTCGCAGCTTTACCCCAGGAAACGACGGGAGTCTCACCCTTCTTTGTTGAACGAGGGTATGAACCCCGGGTGTCCTTTGATTGGAAACCGGCGGAAGCCTTGGACTGGCTTAGTCAAATTGTACCTCGACAAAGGAACGAGTCGCAGAACGAAGAAGCAAGCGATTACACCAACAGGATGCAGGAAATATGGGAAGATACGCAGAGAAAAGCTACACATGCGCAGGAACGTCAGCGTCAACAGGCGAATCGGCACCGTAGGGCAGAGGATTTCGGTGTTGGTGACCGAGTATTTGTGACGACAAGGCACTGGAAACTAGACCGACCAGGTAGGAAACTTGCAGACCAAGCGAGTGGACCTTACATGATCGTGGAGAAGGTTGGTAATGCGTACAAGCTAGACCTCCCAGAATCGATTCGTGTGCACCCAGTTTTTTCGGCAGAGAAACTCCGATTAGCGGCACGAACAGAACCGTTGCCTGGGCAACTACAAGACCCGAAACCCCCGGAAGTCGTTGACGACGAGCCTGAATGGGAAGTCGATGAGATCGTGGCAGTGCGCCTACACTACCGAAAGCTTCAGTACAAGGCGAAGTGGATCGGCAACGACGATGACAATTGGTACTACGCGCGCGATTACAAGAATGCGCCTGAAAAGCTGATGGAGTTTCACCGAAAGTACCCAGATCTGCCAGGTCCGCCAGTACGATTGACTGCATGGATTGAAGCTGCATTAAACGATCGCTTTGAGCCAGATCACCCAGATGACAACAAAGCGATCTGATTGGTCGATTCAGAAAGGAAGACCCGAATGCACGTGACCTGGAGGGCCAGGTCCTTTTAAACAAGGGGGCAATGTTACGATTCGTAGATGCGGAAAGTCTTGCGAACGAACTGGCGAGAAGTGTTTGCATGGGAGTTGCCGAAAAGGGAGGGCCCTATAAAGGCAATCCCTTTGGGTGGATTAGAATCTTCCTTCTCTTCTTCTTTCTCTAGATTTAGTTGCCTCGTTTAAACAGTACCGAATTGATTCATAATCTTTTCGCTTGACCGTAACAGGAAGGGTTATCATCATCTAAGAGCAGTTCAATATCATCCTTCTGCTAGATAGAGGGTCGGCTGAACTATAACTACTCTATCTCCTTTTGGCGCTATTAGTAGGGCTCGAGGTATTTTTCCATATAGCCTCGGTAGGTCTTACGCTATTAGTAGTTATTATCGGACTATTCACGCTTCGAGAAGAATTATAGCTTATACCGCGGCGCAAGGATAGTGCCAATTACATAGAGATTACTATAAGCGTTAGTCTGGCTATAATAGTCAGAGAGCTTTTAACGGCCTACTTCGAGCGCCCCACGCATAGTTACCTTCTAAGGAACCCGTTTCCGCTTTAGTTAGCTGATAGAAAAGTCAAAATAGTCAAACAGCTTATTGTAGATTCTAAAGATCTAATAGATTATAATATCTTTGATCTTAGAGATAGCCGTGATCTACTAATAAAAGGGTTGAGTGATACAAAGAAGGTAGTCAACTTACCGCCACTCTTCCGTGTTTAGTTTAAACTAAGGATAGTTATACTCACTATAGTACTTATCATACGCCTTTAAGAGCCGCTTAGCGCGCTAAAGTATAAGGAATGTTAAATTCCACCGCGTTTTAATATCCTAGATAGGGAGAAGCTTTAGTTCTTTACTTTAAAGGTTCAAAAACGCTTCTCGGCGCTAAGAACTAGCGTTAACACCTATAGCTAGGCCACGGACCTAATATTAATAAGTAGATAGATCTCTATAAGATAAGATTAACTGATAGATATAAGGTAAGACTTACTTTTACAAGAGTATAGATAATACCTCGCTTTCGAAGGTATTTTAGGGACGTATCCTGTTTAGCTAACCACTACCGATCTATACTATCGTTCTTTAGGTTAAGCTTTATTATCGTGAGGAGATCCTTTAGGCTAAGTTAGATAATATACGCTAAGTAAGGAATTCGGATAATTAGTATATAGTTTAGAAGATCTAGGGCTTATATTAACGTCTATATACTACTAACTAGAGTGTCGTTAATCAATACGTTATTAGTCGTAATAGTAAGCACCCGATCTATAATCTAATACTCTTATAGATAGTCGAATAGAACCTAGCTTAGATTAATACCGGAGTACTTTCTATATAAGGGTTCAAAGCTAAGAAGGATCTCCCGGTACTTCTAGTTTTAGTCGAGGAAGTAACCAGTAATTGCCATAAAGGCCTATTAAAAGGGAGATATCTAATAATCAAGAGTAATTAAAAGCTTTATATTTAGTAGGAGGTCTAATAGGATACGATGCTAATCTTCTTACACGATCTTTCGAAGACGACGTCGAGCAGTTCGAGGGGTAAGGAGTGTAGGGTTTAACGTGGCTAGCCGAGCTATTAATATAAGGTCGGTAAGGCCTTTATGCGTAAGGATTTAAAAAGGAAGGTTTAATTTAGTAATAAATCTAACCTAATATCGTTTCTATTACTCCTCACTAAAAGATAGCTTCGAACGTGATATATTTTCGGCCTAGATTAGAAGAGTAGATTATTAGTTTACTAGAGTTAACTAGTAGAATATTTGTATTACTATATATTCGATTGATTAGTGTAGTATCTTCTACCTTACTATATTATTTATAGCTTAAATGTATATTCTAGCTATAAAGTAGCGATTTATAGAATTAGTCCCGTTCGTAGTTCGCCCTAGGTGTGGAATGGTTTTTCTATATCTTCGGTATATAACTATTACCTCGCCGGTGATATAGTTAGCTACTTAGTCAAAATGCTACTAGATCTTAGCGGAGTACTTTGTATCCTATCGCATCTTCTTTTAACGTGATCCTATCGTTATCGTAGCCTTAGTCTATAACTACTAGATCACAAAGTCGTTTTTATTTATTTCGGTATATTTTACCTAGGACTTCTTCTAATCAGAACCAAACCGCTTAAGGGTAGAAGGAAGAGTAAGAGGAGGTGTAAACTCAGAGGATAGCGTAGGATATTAAGTTCGTTAATAAGATAAGCTCCTTACTATAAAAGAGCTATTATCTAATTCGATATCGGTAAGGGGGTCTATAGGATCACTCTAATAGAGAGAGGAAGGCCTAGCGTTAGAAAATTAGCTAAATTAAGACATAGTTAAAGAAGAGTAGAGTGTATAGCTAGGGGAATCGAAAGAGAAAGGACTTACTATATAGCGAATTAGTAGTTACGACCGGAGGAATTCAATAATAACTAGGGTAAATTCAGCTAAAAGATACAGTTAATCTATTATAGTTGATAAGGAGACCCATAGTAGGCACTCTTCCGATTAGTTAATCCCGTAGGAAACTCCCATACTTCCATAGGAAATCCTATAGGACCTTATAGTCCCATCGATTTTCGGTCAGACCACGCCCCCCGACTTTCAAATTAGATAAAAAATATTTCACCTATATTTCAAACTGCTATTTCTACACCCTCTTATATTATATACCTACTAGTTTTAAATATAAGATAGAGATTAGATAGCGTATATAACTATAAACACTTCTAATTAGCTAGCTTTTTTTAAATAGAGCAGCATTCGTATTAAATAAAGAGATCTCGTTAGGGATAGTGCTACGGTACTTACATAGAATATATATTTCCTACTCCATATACTTCATCTACCGCTATATCTTCTAAAATAACCATCCGGTAATTAAATTATTTTAAAAAAGATAGGAATCTTTAATTTCTAATACCTAATTAGCTATATACAATTAGATTTCATAAAATTTCCTAGGAATATAGCTAAGTTTAGGGAGATATTAAAGTAGTATACTAAAACACTGTTTAATAACAGTGAAAATTCGGATGAATCATCATTTTATCCATCCTATTCCGGAAAATTATGCAAAAATATAAGCTTGGCGGGACTCATGGGAGTCCCACGGGACTCCCATGGGCGAACTAAGAGACTTTGTCCCGTGGGATTGATGGGACTAAGGTCATGGTCCCGTGGGAGTGGGACTAAATTTTTACTAGTCCCATGGGAGATGTCAATGTCTAGTGGTAACCACAATATTAGAAGTCTAAGCACATGCATTCCCAACGCACGTCCGTCTCTGCCACCGTGTCCAGCATACCATTAAGATGCTTCGCAAGCTCTCTCGCTGACCACACTTTACCGAGTGTACTTCTTCGGGCCCGGAAACGTAGGAGCAATACCGGGCCCTACTCTCGGTTTTCTCTCGCGGGTCTTGAAGACCATGAACTTGCAATGATCTCGACGAATTAGCGACGATCGACCAAAGAACCCTGCCACCATGACGATCGGAGTTTTTTACCGTGATTGAGATCGAGACAGACTGAAAGGGAGCGGGCCGAGACCAAACGGTCAATGTCCGGCGGTCATCACATCACTTAGGTGCGCGGCCATCGATCTTCATGGAATTTCTTGTCACCACTTGACAAATTACTGGTTCATTCCATGAACGCCAACCAAATAAGATCCCATATATCGTACGGTATTTGATCATTTGATCAGGAGGAACCGACCTCAGCGTGGTCTCCGCTGTCTCGTGATAATGATCTGACCTAAGTCGCCACCCGGAGTCGTCGGATCGTGGGCTAGATCAGACCTCTTTGGACTTGTGGGAGCTTCAGATATATGGAGCACCCGCCACACTTCCATTTCAACTGAACGCATATTTCAACATCTCCACAGTTCATGAATACCATTGCTTTGTCTCAAATGCTCATCGTCTGACGTCACTGATCCTTCTTTATAGCTCTTGCTATTTCTGAATGAATTGATTTTGCACAACACCCTTGATTCATATGCTTTTTAACATTGCCAACATTATCCATACACAAAATAGGCTCTTTGCCATTGAATACACCCATGGCTGAGGTTGGAAAGATCAAAGGTGAGGCTAGTGCTGGGGACCTGGTCCTTCCGTTCGAGCATCTTAGGAGCAATGATATTGCCTTGGTTGGCGGCAAAAACTCCTCCATTGGGGAGATGATCGGTGCCCTTGGGACGAAGGGGATCCCGGTACCACCTGGTTTTGCGACCACCTCGCACGCTTATTGGCAATACGTTGACAGCAACGAGATCCGGGACAAGGTGGCCATGTTGATTGCTGAATGGCAATCAGGTAAGGTGACCTTGGTTGAGACTGGCCATGCAGTGCGCAGTTTATTCCTTCGTGGTAGTTGGCCCGCCGATATCTCGACTGCTATCGGAAGAGCCTATCGCGAGCTGTCGGGCAAAGTGGGAATCAAGGACCTGAGCGTTGCAGTGCGTTCGAGCGCGACGGCAGAGGACTTACCTGATGCGAGTTTTGCTGGCCAACAGGAGTCTTTTCTGAACATCACGGGGTTTGATGCACTTCTGAATGCTTGCCGGCGTTGTTATGCCTCTCTTTTCACCGACCGTGCCATCAGCTATCGCCAGACCAAAGGATTCGATCACATGAGCGTCGCACTCTCGATTGGAGTACAGCATATGGTCCGCTCCGATGCCAGCGGGTCTGGTGTTATGTTCTCCATTGATACCGAAAGCGGCTTCGACAAGGTTGTGCTCATCAACGCAGCGTGGGGGCTCGGGGAGAATGTAGTACAAGGAACTGTCAACCCTGACGAATACCAAATTTTCAAGCCTCTACTGGACGATATCAATCTGGTCCCAATCATAGAGAAAAGGCGCGGTGATAAGTCAATGAAGATGGTGTATGGCGATGAAAATATGCCAACGCGCAACATACCTACCTCAAAAGCGGAGCGAGATGCATTTGTGCTGGATGATCAGGAAATACTCCAGCTAAGCCGCTGGGCCTGCATAATTGAAAAGCATTATGGTTATCCCATGGACATGGAATGGGCAAAGGATGGAATCACGGATGAACTGTTCATCGTCCAGGCTCGGCCGGAAACCGTACACTCACGCCGTGATGCGGGTGCCTTGAAGACTTACAGGGTTGGAAAGAAGGGCCGCCTCCTGACCACCGGCCTTTCGATCGGGGATGCGGCAGTCTCAGGCCGTCTCTGCATTATTGAAACAGCAAAAGATATCGACAATTTTATCGACGGTTCGATCTTAGTGGCGAAAGTGACCGACCCAGATTGGGTACCTCTCATGAAGCGGGCCGCGGCGATTGTCACCGACCACGGCGGGCGCACTTCGCATGCTGCCATAGTTAGCCGCGAACTTGGCCTCCCTGCCGTAGTAGGCACTGGCAATGCAACCTACATTCTACACACCGGTCAGGACGTAACTGTTTCCTGTGCAGAGGGTGATAACGGCTTCGTCTACGAAGGCATCTCCAATATTACTACCCAGACATTGGATCTTACTGGGCTGCCGTTGATCAATACAAAAATCATGATCAATCTCTCCAACCCAGCAGCGGCCTACCGCTGGTGGCGACTTCCAGCAGATGGCATCGGACTTGCTCGTATGGAATTTGTCGTTACCAACGCTATCCAGGTCCACCCCATGGCGCTCGTCCATTTTGATCGGTTAAAGGATGTAAAGGCCAAGGAGAAAATTATGAGATTGACGGCTGGATACAATCACAAGCCTGACTACTTTGTCGACAAGCTGGCACACGGTTTTGCGGCCCTTTGCGCCACTGTCTACCCTAAGCCGGCTATCATCCGCATGAGTGACTTCAAGACAAACGAGTACTCCGGTCTCATTGGTGGCTTTGAGTTCGAGCCAAAGGAGGAGAACCCTATGCTTGGCTTTCGTGGAGCATCTCGGTACTATTCACCACTGTACAAGGCGGGCTTCGCGCTAGAGTGCCGCGCGATCAAGCGGTTACGTGAGGATATGGGCTTCGATAATGCGATCCCAATGATTCCTTTCTGCCGGACAATTGGTGAGGCTGAAAAGGTACTTAGCACTATGGCCGACAACGGGCTCAAGCGTGGTGAAAACGGCCTGCAAGTCTATGTTATGTGCGAGATTCCGTCCAACGTCATCCTGGCTACTGAGTTTTCCCGGTACTTCGATGGTTTCTCGATTGGCTCCAATGATTTGACGCAGTTAACTCTTGGTGTTGACCGTGACTCTGAGGAGCTGGCAGACCTATTTAACGACCAAGACGCGGCTGTTAAATGGATGGTCGCGCAGGTCATCTCAGTGGCTCGGAAGAGAGGTTGCACGATCGGCATCTGCGGACAGGCACCGAGTGACCATCCTGAGTTTGCGAAATTCCTTGTGAATGCTGGCATCAATTCGATATCTGTCAGCCCCGACAGCTTTGCCTCCGTTAAAACGTTTGCTGCAGCCAGCGAGCGAGAACGACTTGCTCTGATAACAGACGAATGAAACATGCTTTAATCCGGCAATCGGGAGTGGGTGCCTTGGATTCAAATTTGAACACCGGAGTCTCTACCAGACACCCACTACATTCGCCCAATATCAATACAAAAGGAGCTTAGGTGTCTATTATTTACGCCGTATTCTACAGGTGATGAGCCCTCCAGTACACACACACACACACACACACAATTCATTAACGCCCGGCGGCTAGGCCGAAAGGGCAACTGAAACTGATCTATCAATACATATCCCAATATATATATGCCGTGTCTCCTTCGAGCCCATACATGGATGCTTGCAACATATGTCCTCTCTCAGCTGTCAATATCATACGGATCCTGGTGGGTTAGTGATTTGGTTAGTAGACTGGCTTGAAGGCGCTTCTTCAAGTGTTCAACATCCTATCTTCGGCAGTTGAAGCGCGTCCACCATTTGTGGCACAAGGTGGTAGGTGCAGGTTGATGAGGGGGAGGGTGTCGTTGTGTTGGTCGACGTGGTTACGTGGCGTCAACTCGGCCCGTGGTGATTGCGAATCGTATTGAGGCTCGCACAGCTTCCAAGTTCGGTGTCCATTGCTGATTATCGGAGTCGGTCCCGAAATTGGTGCCACCACTTTCACTAACTGTTTCTCAAACTCTATTAGTTAAGCACACTAGTCTATATTAGGAATATATCCGGACTATTGATCTTCCTGTACCTTTCAAGATTACAATGTGATACATATAATACCCAGATTATAATACGTTCTATTGGTTTTGTTACTGTATGGGCGGTCCATCAGCGGGCTGTGCCCCTGTAGTTGGTCGCCTTCCACGAATAACAAGCAACGAAGGCCCTCAAAGCCACCTTTTGAGGATGATATTAATAGCTAGTGGTATCCACCTATGTTCATAGACTTGCTAGATTTAAGGTCAGACTTATGTGCTTCATTTTAAGGGATATCTTTTGTCGCTACCCCAGGAATTCTGAGTTAACGGGAACAGCAAACGAACCTACGGCTCTTCAGCTAGAATAGAGGGCATCACTTGCTCACCATTTAATTAAGTGGAGGGCGACTTTGAAGAATGAAGTTAGGCTCGCACCTATTCAGTCCACGGCCGTAAATGTGGACGAGGGATAACCGAAGACCTATACAATGCAACAACCAATTGGATTCTTGACTCTGAATTTCCACGATACTCAGCAGTTTGGGTTAAATACAGAAATTGTGCATAATATGAAAAGAGACAAATTAGAGAGCCGTACTTTTTGTTGTGTAGGGGCGGCAATGTTGAATTTGCCGATAAATGCAATGAACAGAGACAGCATTAGCTGTATTCGAAGCTGACACATTCCCATGACTTCGGAGACTTTGAATCAGAGACGTTGACAACGCTCAAAGCGCCTTTTGCAGCATTGCTCCGCTGTGTTGGATGGGCATGTAATAGTGGAGTCTGGACGTGAATAATGTTCGCCACAGCATTCATGCTGCCTCATTTGCCTTCTACTGCACTTATCAATGCACCGTATCATCTCGTCTCTACATGCCCCGCTCGTTACATCGCGGCATGTTTCACCTGAAGGGTCATTCGTGCATTCCAGGCATATTGGGAAGCATCCACCAGTCCCGTGAACGCAATTCTCAAAATCTGCCACCTTTTTTCTGTGGCACTGCTCCCATTCCTCTGGGAAAGCCTCACTGCAATTAATTTGATCCTCACTAACCGGTGTAGCGATGACGGTTCCCAAATATATCAACAGAACCGTAAGACGTAGTGGATGCATGTTGCCAACGTGCAGGGTGCCTTTTATCGTACTAGGATGATCGAGTGATGGGTGTAGTTCAAAATATTATTTGACTGTGTTTCCTTTGGTGTTCGTCGTATTATTTTTGTTTCTGTTTTGTTGGGAAAAAGGTTGGTTTCAATCCGTGGAGGCTTGTTATACTTTAATATTGTTGTGGTGTTTCAATTTTTTGGTGGAATCCCGGGTGATTGTGAATAGTTTATATAACCTTAAGGTAGGAGCTCTACATCATCTAGATAGCCTAGCGGGTTGCCAGCCGTGACGTGTTGGTTCAAAACTACCCCGTAGCTGGGGGCTAGAGGACGGTCATTGTGACATCAATACTTGGCTTCATGTTGGCTATGCTGTTCTAGATTAGTTACGACATCGGAGGCAAATATGTAAATCTGGCTGTATACGGGTCCAGACCTTCATCCTCTTCAACAGTCTCAGATTATGTTGACGTGCTGGATGACCACTAACTGCGGGCCACCAGCTGGCTAGAAACAGCTATAATGATTTCAATTGATCTGAATCCTCACATTTAGCGTACGGTCAGATGATAGTCGATGTCACCACCCACACTTTCATTGTATCTGGGACCATATACCAAGAAACACTGACGCCAAGAAACACTGACGCCAAGAAACACTGACGCCAAGAAACACTGATTAATTCAGACCCGCCCCGGTTTCTAGCAAGCTTTGTTTTCCACTGCACTTTTTCGCACAAGGCAGGATGCGTGGGAACAAAGCTTTTGACTGAAACTCATACTCTGGGAGCGTTTTGAGGACGCCACGGAGCGGTCAGGAGTGACATGGAAGCTGCGGCAAGGAAAGAGAGGAGCAGAGTGATGGATGACGTTGACTGGGCTACAGTAAAACCTATTCATTTATCACAGCCTGACTCATCCACATAGACAAGATGGTACGATTGGAAATCGGAGATAAAGTGACAATATTCATCGCGTAGATCTTTATTGCGTTCTCGGGCCTTCTTTTTGGACCAGCCTTTAGACGCAAGAGCGCGGCTGATACTCGACGTTGCTGCTTGGATAGCGAATTCGTCCCAGAGAATGATTGCCATCTCATGGAGATAACGGTTAGGCTTCTCGATCAGGTTGCTCACATAGAGCTTCCAGCATAACTGGTGTGACACTTCGTGGTCGACCTCCCTTATTAGGTGGGGCTTTGACGCTGCCGAATATTCTTATATTAGAGGAGATTCTCGGGATGGTTCTCCTGTTGCAACCAGCAGCCCGTGCCATGTGCGATACAGACAGCTCTCCACTGCGGATTATATCAGAGATAAGCTCATGCTTTGACGGGGCAAGGTTTGGTGCCATCCCGACGTGGCCACTAAGAATGATGGTTGAGGTCTCCGTGTACCAGGAGATCATCTTCTTGAGGGGGGGGAAAAAGTTGTCGGACGTAATAAAGTACGGGCGTATACGGCCCCACCATATCGTAGATACGGTGTGTAAGAAACAATACAGACCCCAGTGCCAAGGATACTCGGAATAATTCCCAATTGGGATTAGTGGAGCTCAGTAATTAAGATTCGAGAAACAATCAAAGAGTAAAGGTGGTGATACCAGTTTCGGGACACACTATATAATACTAGGTATCCATCTTTGGTACAACATACGGTAAACAAACGTGACTGTACTGCCATTAAAGATCGACTTGGAGATACGAAACCGGTGCCACGTGGCGACGGAATCGATTGTGCATAATAGCGGGACGGACCGCAACGCGAACCCCTGAACCGCCCGACCGCGACGAACACGAAGAGTCACCGCCAAGATTATCGAGGCCGAGACGCACTACCAGACCACCGAGTAACTATGCTCGGGATCAAGAGATCGATAATGGCCAGAGAGCGACACGCTCTTAACTGAGGAAGAAAACGCAAGACAAGCCAGCAACTCAACGTAACGCGGTTACTTCGGATGACTCCGCGACGGAGAGTGAGGACCTCAACACCGCCACACTCGTGAAAGAACTCATTAAACTTAGGCGAGAGATCAGGCGACGCGATGAATTACACAAGGAAGAGCTTTAAAAGGTTAAAGATGAATTTAGCGCCGCCCTTACCGAAGTTCGACACGAGCTATAGACCCTAACGGATAGGCCCCTAACACCGTAATCCCACGCCGAGATATACGCTCAGAACAACCACGATAAGATCCTCCGCGAGATTCAATCCCTACGCGATGCTATTAGCCCTTCTATTCCTACTAGTTCCCCGTCCTATATAGATATCGCCCGTACTCCTCTACTTAGTCACCCTAGTAACATACGGACGCTCTTAACGTTAAACATAACACCGACCACGTTCACCGACACATTATATTACACAATTGATACCTCGAGGATAACAGAAAATAGAAACGAGAGGATATCCGCAGGCCCAATCCGGGCGACGATCGAGACAGAGATCCGGAAGATAGAAGACTACATACACTAGCGTTATCGCGCCGTCACTATAGACCCGAAGAACACGAACCGGATCAGAATAGCGTATCGCGATAAAGCCGAACACCAGTTAGTCAAGAAAGTGGCGGAAGCAAAGATCGGTGCGGGAGCCCAGGTACTTCGGGACAAGCTCTACCCGATTAAAGTCGATAGCGTTAACAAAGCCGTAGTACTAGATAAAGATAATAAGATCCGAGCCGGAGCTACGGTAGCCTTTAGCGAGGAGAACGAAGCTACCGTGGCTAAGATCGTATAGCTTAGTAGCAAGGAGAGTGCGAAGGCCTATAGATCAATAGTCGTTTACCTTACTAAAGGTACTAACGCACGGAGGCTCCTAGCCGACGGGTTCTTTCACGCTAGAGGAGAGTCTAGCGTAACTAGCACCTTCGAATATCGACCACGACCGATATAATACTATAAATACTAGGAGATTAGCTATAAGGCGTTCTAGTATAAGAACGTCCAGAAGTACGCAAGATACGCCACGGAGGGCCATCGCTATAGTACCTACGACTAAGCGGTTCTTAAGTACGTCCTATACAGAGGCCTACATAAATCGTATAGCAAAAACTACCGGAAACTCTATCCGTCACGTTATAAATAAAACCCTCCGAATAGTCTAACTAAATATAAGGAAATAGGGCGCGGTATATAATAGCTTAATAAACGACGAAGAAACCTAGGGGGCAGTAGCTCTAGCGATTTAAGACCCCTAAGCGAGGAGAATCTAAGGCCGGCTTTTAATAACCCCGATAGGATATCATA